GAGTCGTCTGTGTGCTAATGAAGATGATGTTATTGTGTTCTGTGGAGGCTGTTCGAGGCAACAGGTAGGCCTACAGGACAAAGCAAAGGTTTATTCCAGTATTTACATAATCAAGAATTTATATTTCCATTTCATAAATCTGGAAGATGTGCAAAAGTTGTGATATCTCTGTTGCTTTCTCTTTCTCCTCTCTTGCTTAGCAGAAGTGCTTTAAATTACAAGACTTACTCACGCCCTCCTTCCCTCCTCCCATGTTCTCAGAGCTCCTCGCAAAAAACTTCTCTGTTTGGTTCAGACTGCAGACAGTCTTCTCTCCAGAGATAAATTCTCGTAAAGTCACATTTTTGGTTGTGTTTTTCCAATCTGCAGGTGAGTGAACAAGATTTTCAGCTCAGGCTACAAATCTCCTCTGTTAGTATTTAGTAAAAGATAACTGCAAAAATTAATTGTGTGAATAAGAAGGGAAAATTAAATGCATTTGACTCTAAATCACCGTTTAGGCCTGTCCCTGTCAGACAGCAGAGAAATACTGAGTCGCCATGATGGTTTTGTGGTTGGAAGCTGTGCAGCAGATTGCAGCACTTCCTGCACTCTGGATACAAAACAGAACCAGCTTCCTCGGTCATGTCTCTTCAGTGTTTCCCACAATCCTTTCTCAGAGATGTTCCAGAGTTGAGGCTAAATGACTCTGAAATTCAAGACATCAACAAAATTCATCAGCTATATTTTTTATAATCAGTCTCTTCTTTAAGTGGTAAATGATAAATGGCCTGTATTTGTACCCCAAAGCGCTTTACACTACATTCAGTCATCCACCCATTCACACACACATTCACACACACATTCACACACTGGCGATGGCAAGCTACATTGTAGCCACAGCTGCCCCGAGGCGCACTGACAGAGGCGAGGCTGCCAGACACTGGCGCCACCGGGCCCTCTGACCACCACCAACTCAAAAACAGAGTTAAAGTAACAGAGTCTCCCTCTTTTGCTGTTTTGTAATGCTAGTCTCAACCCATACTCTTTATAACACATGTCCACTTAGATTAATATCATACAACTGCAGTCAAAGCTTCTTCCTCTACGACAGCAGAATTCCTCCTCCTCTTTCCTCCACCCACAGACAAAGCTGTTGATGAAACCTCTCTGTTCAGTTCAGACTACAGTCATGCCACGAACTCTCTATTTTTCATGGATGGATTCTCTTGAAGTCGTCTTGTTTTTGTTTGGGATTTGTGACGCTACATGTGAGTGAAACTGAGCATCTAATGTTTCATGTTTGTTTGTGTAAGTGCAGCTTACTTCATCTATGGTATTTCAAATTTTGCATTGCTGAAGTTTTCAAGTTTAGTTGAATATCAATGTATTTTGAAACAGTTCTTCCAGGTTTGAAAGGGCAGAAAACAGTGTAAAAAAATCTTGAACTGTTTTGATTATCTGGTACTTAAATGTTTAAGTTGCTCTAACTTGTGTCGAGGGATCAGCATGTTATTTGTTTCACTTTTATTCCACTGACTGTTTCTCTACCAATGATATCTCTGTGTAAAATATTTTATTTTATTGCTCTAATATTGTCTGAACAGGCTGGTTGAACTAAACATGAGCAGGAGGAAGTTTCAGACTGATGAAATAAGACATTAAAATACCACAGTGACAAAGCATTGAAAGCTGAACAGCCTGGACGTTGTTACTTACATGATAACATCAAAGGAACAACAGAAAATGTCTATCACATTTCCTTTCATTGCACACACTATAAATGTGTTGCTACATACTGCTATTCATCCTTCTCAACCAAAATATCATAATTATTATCATAGTTATTGTGGTGTGGTGATCTCGTTTGACCTTTGACGTGCTTCAACACCAAACAGGCTGAAAACACTTTAAGGCTAGAAGCAGGTTGCGAGGTTAACATCTGCATGCTTCATTTGTGTAGAGGGTGTGTCTTTGTAAAAGACAGTGAGCAAGAAAATGAGGTACAAACTCAGGGATGAAATGTGAGATATGAAACTGTAAAAACCTTCCAGGCATCCTTGAAGGTCTGTGAAAATTAAGTGAATCCCATGATACATTGGTTTGTAGATCCAACTTTAGGAGCAGTGACTTGATTTCATTTCCTGAACTTTAATATTTAGCATATTAAACAGAGACTGCAATCTTATTTGGCTGCCTCTCACAGTCTTAGACTGAGGGGCTGGGATCTGTGACCTAGCCTATCATTTTGAGTTAATTGTTATATTCGTGATTTCTTAGGTATATTGAAAGGATGTTAAGTTATGTTAAGTTCTTGTATTGTTATCAGGTTGCCTTGAGTTTTAAGTCTAGTTTATTCTTCTAATTCTTAGTTATGAGTTTGTTCCTGCTTACTATATTATATGGTCTGCATTTGGATCCGTTCCTTAAACACACAGGCGCACAGTGACACTTAGTTTCCTTTGGAAGCATTAAGGGTGGATTTAGTTTTTCACAGGACTCCAGCTGGTGTTTCTGTGCAGCGATTAGCATCGCACAGAAAAGAGGAACCCCAACACCACGTTATACTGTAGAGTCTCCTCATAAGCCATTCTTGGTCTTATTTTTTGTGGTACTTAAATAGCAAAGCCGACTTCCTTCCTGCTTTTGCTCTTCTGTTTAGGTGCAATTACATGTAGCTTTCATAGCTTTCTCTTTTCCCCTCTTTATCTAAGCAGAATTTTCTTGAATTACAAGACTCACTCTTGCCCTATTTTCCTCCTCCCATATTCTCAGAGCTGTTCACTAAAACTCTGTTTCGTTCAGACTACAGACACTCCTTAGAGTGTGTGAGAGGAATTCTGTCAAAGTCGTGTTTTTGTTTATGATTTTGCATTGTAACATTGTAACACACTGCACTCTGCAGGTGAGTGAACAGTTTCAAACATGACCCACTTGTTATACTGATGGTTTGTAACTCTTTAACCAAAAAAAACATCAGTATAACAAGTGGGTCATGTTTGAGACTGTGTCCATGTGTTTAAATGACCTTTGGTTTGTAAATATTATTTTGTACAATTTTTTTGTGTTGTTCAAATCATATAAAAAGAAAAGAAAAGAAAAAAGAAAAGCTGAGTACCATTTCTACTATGTGATAGAGTAGACAGCCAAACCACTCAAACCTTTAACCTGCTCCAACATGCATAGATGAGTCAGCATGTTGCTTGTGTTGTTTTTCCTCTTCAAATTCCTGCCAATGGCTGGATGTGTGATAACAAGCCTGGGAATGATTTTCTTTGCAGTTCAAAGATTAAAGTGGTTAATGTCACTGAATGTGCTGAACTATGTGAATTAACTGAGGTATTTTGAGGTAGCTGGTATCAGGTTGATTAAATAGACCTTCATCACAAATAAAACAATGATATTATTTCTTAACTTAAACAAAGAAGAGAAAGATAAATACTCACTGATAGTTGCTATGGCAGGTTATCAGCAGGGTACAAGGATGATATCAGTCCTGTGTGCTTCATTCTTGTAGAAAGTCTCTCTGTGTTGTAAAGAAGATCTAATACAGACTAAAGTCATTTGAAAGCATTTGATACAGTTGACCACAACATATTACTCAAACGACTGGAGAACTCTTTCAGGAACTGTACTAAACTGGTCCAAAACATACTTAGAAAACAGGAAATACTTTGTATCCATAGGTAACTTCACATCTGAGCAGATAAGTATCACATGTGGAGTTCCCCAAGGTTCCATCTTGGGACCCCTTCTGTTTAACATTTACATGCTCCCACTGGCACAGACTATAAAGAACAACAAAATAAACTATCACAGCTATGCAGATGACACACAAATATATATCACAATGTCACCAGGAGACCGAGGCCCCTGTACTCTTGGTAAATGCATTGAGGAAATTAACGACTGGTTGTGCCACAATTTTCTCCAGCTAAACAAAAACAAAACTGAGGTAATAGTCTTTGGTGCCAAAGAAAAATGATTACAGGTCACCAGAGAACTTCAATCTATACACCTAAAAACCACAAACCAGGAGAGAAATTTGGGTGTAGTGATGGATGGAGACCTAAACTTAGAAAAACACATAAAGACAATAACAAAATCAGCTTACTATCACCTCAAGAATATTTCAAGGATCAAAGATCTGATGTCTCAACAGGACCTGGAAAAACTAGTCCATGCATTCATCTTTAGCAGGCTTGATTACTGTAACAGCATCTTTACAGGTCTACCTAAAAAATCAGTCAGACAACTACAGCTCATTCAGAGCTCTGCTGCTCGAGTCCTCACTAAGAGCAAAAAAGTGGACCACATCAGTCCAGCTCTGAGGTCTTTACACTGGCTGCCTGTCCATCAGAGGATAGACTTTAAAGTTCTGATGCTGGTCTATAAAGCTCTGAATGGTTTAGGACCTCAGGTCATCTGGATCCGGTCTTTTATCAGTTCCCAGAGTCAGAACCAGACACGGAGAAGCTGCATTCAGCTTTTTATGCTCCTTATATCTGAGAAATGAGGGTTGAAATGTGCAGTTTCAAACTGTGCAGGTTTAAAAATGTGTAAAAATTGAGTTTTCACAGGCTTCTTTGCAGTCATGTAAAAATGTTTCAGTAGTTTGGCGAACTGCCTTTAGCTGCAATAAGTTAAGTTATCCTTTTCTGTATGAAGTCATCAGTCACTCACATAATTGTGGACAAAGTTTGGTTCACTCCTATTTGCATTGTCTGAACTCTGGGTGAATTTGCTGAGGAAGATTGTGACGTTGTGTTAGCAGACACCCCAAAAAACAGCAAACTGACAAAATGTATTGGTTAATGAAGTCCATTTAACTAACAGCACATGATTGGTACTTACATGCATCCTCAGAATTCCCATGAAGGCAGTAACTGTGTACTTAGATTTTCACACCACAATACAATAATGTGGATTTTCCTCATGAGCTCATGCTTGGTCTGATTTGCTTTTGACTAGAAAAAAGTGTAAATCCCAAATAACTTAACATAATCTGATCTTTTTTTCAGGTCTACAAGAGATAGATGTGGAGCCTTACAGGAATGTTGAGCTGGAGTGTCAGGGTCCAGAAAATGGCAAACTCATCCTGCTGGCGTGGAAAAGACCTGATCTGCTATCAGATGGATACGTCTTCTTCTACCGAGATGATCTCCCACATAAAAACTTTCAGGATCCGATTTTTAGGGGTCGAGTGAAGCTGAGAGATCCACAGATGAAAAATATGGATATGTCCATCATCCTGAGCAACACCACCATTAATGACACTGGAACCTACGAGTGTTGTATCATCGTGGAAGACAGAAGGCAAGAAACCTCTGAGATCAAGCATGAAATCAGGCTGAAGGTTAGACTACTAGGTGAGTGATCAGAGTGCAGTAGATAATGTCTGACAGCAGTTTGAAGAGGAAATGGATTCTGTTCTGTTCTTCACTCATCACCTACCTGACAGCTGACACCTCACACCTGTTTCTCACCTGCAGGTCAGACAGGAGGACACACAGAGGATGGAGGGAAGAAGGAAGAGGCTGGATACAGTGTCGGACAGAATGGACTCCTGATATCTCTGGGATTTTCTGCAGTCGGATTAATTGTTCTTGTTATTACTCTTCTGATGCCTAAAACACAGGATCATCATCCCAGCTCATCCTAGTGAAGAAGATGACAACCAGTTTGTCTTGAAGTAATCACCTGGTAAGCAGCAATGAATTCTGCTCAGGTGAACTGGGACAATTATTCAGGTCAGTTCAACATCCCAAGCCTCTGAGTTCTTGTCCTTCCTGCTGCTTAGGACTGTCACAATATTCAACATATCACAATGAAGAGAATTCACTGCAAATTAATTAGCAAGAGACCAATGAGAGAGTTGTGCTTGTGGACAGTCTTTAAACTGCTAACAAATTCAGATTGAATGATCCAAATCATCCTCAGATTACAAAGGTTCCGGTGCTCCTGGTGACCAGTCCTGTTTCTATATAATATAAAAACCAGTAGTTTGGTCTGGTCAACATGTCTGCACCAATCACGTGAACCCCGCTCTAGATCCTGTTCTGTTCTGTACTCATTACCTATCTGACACCTCACACCTGTTTCTTATCTGCAGGTCAACCAGGAGCACTTAGAGTTGATTCAAAGAAACAGGAAGAAGCTGGACTCAGTGTTTTATCTGTTGGTTTCCCAATTCTCCGTATATATGGTGTCGGGTTGCAAATTTTGAAGCCAACATGATAACCTTATCCAGCCAGTGATGTGGAGATACACATTTTAGATCCACTTAAAATCAAATCACTCAAAAAGATCCTCTGGAAAAGAATTCTTGAAACAGAGTTTATTAAACAGAGTCATATAAACAGCCAAACAGTTCATAACAATACACAGAACAGCAACACAGCATGTAGCAAAGTAGGCAAACCAAATCCTGTGGGGTGACGTGAGGAGGGCTGTGCACAAGAGACATCCTTGGAATCTAATGTATTTGGAGTGTTTTTGCAAGGAAGTGTGGACAAATATGGCAAACGTAAGATGTGCCATGAAATACTGTGATTAACTAAAACATATTTGTTTCTTTTTCATCTTTGTTACCAAGGTCTGCACCAATAAAGTGACCCTGTCTCTCAACTGCCACCTTAATGTGGTGGAGGGATTTGTGAACTCAGATGTTCCTGGGAGCCGAGTTATCTGGAGGCTTCAGCTCCTGGTAGGTTCTCCTGAGACAAACTGGTCTCAGGTGGTGAACTAGACATGAACTGTATTTACTATTCACACACTGCTACTATTCTTTTTCTCTTGAATGAATTGAAAGACATGTTACAGGAAATAATTGTTTTGATTATGGTTAATCTTTGATTTGGTAAAAAGATTAAAGTGAAAAGTGTTTGTTGCTTATTTGAGTTCTCAGAAATGGAATTAAAACCATAAAAACATTATTAAAATCATGTCATCATGATTTTTATTTGACGACTGTATATTTATTACAGCTGGCAGCAGAAATGCTGAAAATATAACATCGAGTTTAAAACTGTATTTTCAAGTTTCATTGTAGCGTCAGGAAACACTGTGGATATAAATGCTAGTGCAATGACAGTAACACATTTGAGGACATGAAATGTTATAAGTTGAGCATTAAAGTTTAACTCCTTTTAACACCTTTTCCTGATAACTCTAAACTATCCACTAATAAAGGAAGAACTGAGGAGATCAATTCTACTGTCAATAGAAATGGTGGCATTTCAGATTTTGAAAGATATTATACTTTTGCTTAAATTAATACATCAAAATCAGCACCCACAGAGAGTGTGTCACAAATGGATTAACATAAGCTTTACTGTAGAATTGTTGTGGGGTAAATCTGCAGGAGGACAAATGTGGATAGGTTCTAACAAATGAAACAGCTGGAGCATTGTGGCTCTATGGAGGTCGAAGGTCAACACTGTGAGGTTGCCCTTCTAAAAAGAACAGCCATTTCTGCTCTTGTGATTAATAAGCCCAGAGAGCTTTGAAAGTGAAACTTAAAAACAGCATAAACTTGCAATCACATTAACTCTAATATGTCTGTAATTGACTCATAGACAGTCCAGCCTTTGTAGTTTGGATGAGTCAGTTTCTCAGAAGCACCAGATTATTTCTATATTTCATAAACTTTGAACTGATAAGCTTCTTGTTCAGTCCTGGATATATCTAAATATGTCCTGTCTATGCACAGGAGGGAATACATCCATCAATTTTCTTTAAACGTAATTGAGCTTGATCAATAATTGAGGATGTAAACACATTTTTTTCTTTTTAAGATAGTTTGAGAAAGAAAGCTTGTGACTTCATACCTGATAATAACAAACATTTAGAGGAAATCCAGGGAGCTGAGAGTCAGTGAATTGTAAAGAGTGCTAAAACATCACGAGGTCAGTATTTAAGATATAATTACTAAAAACACAGGGAAACAAGAACACCACCCCAGTCATCTCTGATAAGTATGAAACTGCATGTTCAGCATGAACCTTAGAACATTTATTCCTTCATTATTTCATCATTCTACCTCAGACAAGCTCATCTCTGATCCAGTCCTTCAAATTTAAAAGATAAACTTGTTCAACTTTGGTCTCCATCCTTGTCTGAGGACTGTGTCTGTGATTCAGGTTGTTTCCACTGATTCATTAGAAGTAAATAAAAAAGGAGGAGAAGCAGACTGTCATCACCTTCAGAGCTGGAACACAGTTCAACATCAGGTTTCTCTTTTCAGACCATTCTCTGGTTGTGTGGGAAAATGCAACCAGATCAGATCTGAAAGCCGAGGACTGCAGACAAAGCTGAGAGTAACCACACAACAGACGGCTAAAATAGAGCCACAGTCAAAGTTTCAGCTACACAGAGAAGTGTTGCACAAGAGTCTGCAGGCTGTGATGTACATGAGTCTGTATAAAAACATACATACGAGGAAGCAGACAGGAGCCTGTGTGGGTTCACTACCACAGTCTAAAGATACGAATGTCATGTTAACTGCTTACATGTACTTTTGCTGTTCTAGATCAAGCCTGCATATCTTCCCTCTCACTGACACTAACATAAAACTTAAAAACTACAAAAATGTGAAAAAGCAACATCAGGATGTCAACAAGGAAAACCTTTATTCATAAAGTTCACATGAGCAAAGCCAGGTGTTATGATATCACATGTAATTCAGTCACAGTGAACATCAGATGGAGCATGAGCTTAGAACTGATGCTCAGTGGTCACCGCCCCAATATCATTATAGTCCTCACACAATCTCTGCTCAGCATTGGTTGCTGTTGCCATGGGGATAGTGGGGTCATTTTCTGTAACATGAGGTCATCAGAGAAATAATACAAAAGCAATCATAAATGATAATGATAAATTATCGAGGAGACTCAGGGTGTTACCTTTGGCTCTGAGTCGATATAGAGACACCGCGATGAAAGTGGAGATTAAGTATGGACAGAACACCACCAGGTGACAGACCAGCCTGATCACTACTCTGGTTGTAGGTCTACCTGCAGAGAGAACCCCACCTGTTCGGTGAATATGTGGATGAAATAAGAGGTGAAATCAGAGTGAAGCTCCTCACCTGTGACAGTGATCCAGCTGGATGGAGACTCTCCATGACCTCTGATGTCACACTTGTAGAGGCCTTCATCAGACCTGGAAACATGCTGGATGGTCATGTGACCTGTAGGCTGCTTCCTGATGAGGGAGCCATCTTTATAGAAAGCAGCTGGGAGGTTGGAGGGAGTGGTCTTTGTTTTACAGAGCAGAGTGACGTCATCTCCCTCCATCACAGGGAGGACAGGACTCTGCAGGATCACTGATCCACCTCAACACAGAGACAAACTACAGCATTTCATCCATTTACACACAGCTTCATCAACACTAACTCCACACACTCAGCTTACCAGTGACTGTCAGGTTAACCATGTTACTGATGGGACCCTCACTGGACTCACACCAGTAAACTCCACTGTCATGAGGTATCATATTCAGTGTACAGGAAGAACCAGCTGGTTTTCCCCACCCATCTCCACACTGAGTCCTCTGTTGTTTGCTTGTGTTTCTCCTCAGAGTCCATCCAGCAGAGCTGTCGTCCTCCTCACAGCTCAGAGACACAAAGTCTCCTTCAAAGAACTGAGAGCTGCTGGGACTCACAGTCAGACGAGCTGTGAGAGTTAAAATGCAAAACCGATTACTCTTTTTATTGTTACTGAAACTAACATAATTACAAACCCATACATTAAAAAAAACTTTCAAATATACTAAACCTGAAACTAATTCATTTGATTGTTTTTCTCACAGCTAGTGTAAAGTTGCCAAAATTTCAACAGATGACGAGCAGGTACTTCAATTTGTGAGGAATGATGTCTCAAACTAAAGATGTGACAAAGAGACACAGAAATGGGACAAATTTAATCAACAACATCCTGTTTTAGAAGGTCTGCTGGAATTGTCTCAACTACAAATGCTGCTATTATTTATTTATTTATGCATCTATTTATCTATGGCAGCACAGTAATTTGCACTGTTGCTTCAAACCGAGAAAATCCTTAATCCAAATTCACCATCTAGCCGCCACCTTTCTTTGTGGAGTTGTACATTCTCCCAGTGTTTGTCTCAGTTTTCTGTGGGTCACACAACCGAAAGACATGCAGTTAAGTAATGATTCTGTATTTCTCATAGAGATAGACAACCATCCTCACCTATGTTTTAGCCTTGTGACCATCACTAAACATTTAAAGCATTTAAACAGACATAAGGTTACTGACCTTGGTGTGTTGTGCAGCTCAGCAGCGAGATCAGAACTAAAGAGAAAAGGTTGGTTTGAGTTTTTACAAATCAATTCTTCATCAATGAGTCAATCGAGTGATTAGTCATATTTTCTTCTGTACTGCTGTGCCCGATAAAGAGAGGAGATTCTTTGGTGTTAGTGTTGATTAAAGTCTGGTTTTTGATTCATGTCAAAATGTAAAAATTATGATTTGTCAAATACGATGACTGCAATCAGACATCAATCACGTCCACCAATCACGTCCACAGACCTAAACACAAACACTGATAGAAATAAACTCTACATAAAACATGTTTATTTTCAAGATTAGACAAAGTCTTTAACTTAAATTATTTTTATAACAGTGTGTCAGAGATCAGTGATTGTAGTCTTGCTGTGGAGTGCATGTGGAGGACCCAGGTGCGGACACGGGCGAGTAGACAGAATTAATTCCAACAAAAGGCGAGCTTGTCATGTTTCGGCTGTGTCCAGGCAGAAGAAGGACCCAAATGCAAAACTCACCACAAAACTCACCACACTCATTAAACTCAAAAAGCTGCTTTATTGCAGAATGGCACGAAAAATATAACTAAACTAAACTGGGACATGGATAACTAATACACAGGGAAACACAGCCATGAGGGAGACTACGACACTGACAAAGAGAAACACAGGGCTTAAATACACAGAGGGATAACGAGGGAATGAGACACAGAAGGAGAGCACAGCTGGGAGTAATCAGGCTGGACGAGACAAGGGAAGCAAAACTAGAAACACTCACATAAGACATGGACCTTCAAAGTAAAACAGGAAACACACTGACTGAACTCAAAATATGTAAACTTAACAGCAACTGAGACAGAACATAGGGGGCTGAAACATGGGACAGAAAGGCAAAGTAGACACAACATGAACATAACGACGCCCACAGGGAAAGAGCAAAACAGAGCACCGAAACACAGGACCTCTTTCAAAATAAAATAGGAATCAATGAAACACTGACATGACTACATGAAGTTGACAACATAAGAAACAGACATGAAACACATGAAGGATAAGGGAGACTTAACACAAGGGTTGAAAACACAAGGGGAATATAATAAGCAAATGAACACAGAAATCTAATGAGCTTAAACATGCACTATAAACATCAAAATGAACTAAAACTCAAAACGCTGGGTCATAAGACCCAGGATCGTGACAGAGCTTTTATTTTGACTGATACACATGGAACATATATCAAGGCAAAAAAACAAACTAGAGAAACTACTAGACTGTGAAACTTCAGCTTGAAAACTATGAATCAACAAACATGACTATGATGACTATGTGTAACTATGATGACTTAATGGAAGATACACAGGCAACATGATGAGGAACAAATGGAAAACACACAGAATAAATACACAGGAGGTGACGAGGGGACTGGAAACACATGGGGACACAGCTGATACAAATTGGCAGGACGACACCACAGGGGAAAGTGAAACTAAAACAACAGCTGTGTCGATTATGTCACAGCGATGCGACGGAGAGTGTCCCAATGTGTACTACAAATACGGTTGACAAATGCGCCCTTCATTCCCCCAAATTTGAAGGCTGGGTCCATTGTAGACTTCGTGTCCCCACATATCCCACAATTCATAGCGCGGTGGTGGGTGTGGATATTTTTTCCGAAAAAACCCCCCAAAAAAACGGCGGTGGCTAAAGCGCTAAACCTTTGTGTTACAGATTATTATTTAGATTAGATGTATTATTAATGATGGCTGTTTATGTTGTATGTAGACAATTAATTTGTCTGCTTCTGAGTAATCAATCAAGCAGAGCTTAAACATTGTTATCTTAATCTGGGAAGGGAGGAATTTTTGGATTATTTTTAAACAAGCAAGATTTTTCATTTTTGTTCATATCTTTCTGCTTTGTTTTCATACTGTAGAGTTTTTGTATGTACTGTCTAAAAGACACAAAGTATTTTCACTGTACTGTTCAGTTTTTAAAAATAACTAAATTGCTAAACTCCGTTTTTCACAACCTGTTTTGTGTGGTAAGATGCTCACACTTCCTCTTCACAGCCGAAATGTGTCTTCTTTGTGTTTTAAAGTTGCTTTAAATTCTGGTTCACTTGTCTTTTATGTCATTTTCTTTCATCGGTCATCGATCAGCCACCAAAACCTTTTTTTAAAAAAAAAGCTTTAGGTAACTTAACAAGGCTTTTTACTTACTCAACAGACATTGCAGAGATGTTCCCTCCATCGTTCCTCTCGGTGATGTGAGCCCTTTTCATTTACAGTCTGAGGACATGAGGAAATTAATCCCCGCCCTGTTGCTCTGCGTGGTTTTCAGTTGTTGTAATTGTTTTTTTTTCAGCCTATTCTGATATAGGTGGGTGGAAAAAAATGAAAATGGAAAATTATGTTTTTTAACAAGACAGTACATGATGAAAGGATTGGTGTTTGCACTGCAAAATGTCTGAATGGTAAAACTGCTGTAAGCTTTTAATTTTTTATCTTTAAACAAGAGAAAGTATTTTTTTAAATCAATGCTGTTAAAATATGTGAAATTCAGTTCAATAAAATTTTAGTGATATAGCAGCAAATCACAACAAAAGTCATCTTAAGGCACTTAACATTTTAATCCTGGAAAATAACAACAGTCAGATGACACCCCCCACGCCACCCCCAGTGGTTGGGTTGCAAATTTTGAAGCCAACATGATAACATTATCACACCAGTGCGGTGTGGGTCCAGCTTTTCAGATCTAATTAACCCTGGAGAACCAATGGGGTCAGAGCCGACCCCATTGGTTTACTAGGGAAACCATGGGGTCAAATTTGACCCCATGGTTTCTCCAGGGTTAAAATCAAAGCTCTCAAAAAGATCCTTTGGAAAAGAATACCATTGTTAAAACAGAGTTCATCAAACTGTGTCATATGAAGAGCAGAACAGTGCATTTTACAGCAAAATGACATAGAAAGTGAGCAAAGCGAAGCGAAGCAAACCCTAGGGTGAAGAGCCTTAAAGCACAAACAGCAAAGACACACAAAATGACAGACTGGAAAAAAAAAAGCTTGGGGCATTTCAGACCCTCCTTCATATACAGTCATGTGAGAAAAAGTTAGGACACCCTACCCGCTAATAACTAGCATTGCCCCCTTTGGCTGTTATAATTTCAGTGAGACACCTTTTACCAGTCTCTGACATCGATCAGAAGAAAGTTTTCCCCACTCCTCAATGCAGAATTCTTTCAGCAGTTATATTATTTGGATCCCTCAGTATCATTAAAATTGATATTAAATATCCATATGTCCAAATATATTTTATAATACAAACGCTTCCATAGGGTGTCCTAATTTTCTCACATGACTGTACATAACTTTCTCGAACTACCCCATAACTTCCTGAGCAGCAGTCTTACATCCATCATTTTGAAATGTGTCCCGTTGTCAGTTTTATGGCCAAAGTGAGTCAGAGAGCAGTTAACAGTTAAGAAATTTGACAGTTTTGTCAGGTGCGTTGGCCAGAAGTACACTACTATCTATGCTAACAAATGTTTTTTCTCGCCTTCTGGCAGCTGAGGCGAGAAAACAGAATCCCTGGTGCATCCCCTGTTGTCCAGGTTTGTTTACTGTATAGGCAAAGAAAGGGCTGGACAGTACATCGGGCAATAAAGATGAACGCCGAGAAAGGGTCCCATGTGCACACTTAGCACCGCCAAGCTGAAATAACCCTATGTTTGGACAGTTGGCCATAAGATAAGATAAGATAAGATAAGATAAGATAAGATAAAACTTTATTAATCCCTCGGGTGTGTTCTTCTGGGAAATTTGGTTTCTAAAAAAGCACAGCACCGACAGAAGTTACAGAGTTAAGAATATATATATATATATATA